ATATAAAACAGACAACCTATAATCACTTGATGAGTTCTCTGTAAAATGAGCCAATGATTTTGTGGTCTGCGCAACATTATGTATGATTTTCTAAATAAATTTTGTGTGGAAAATACATATTTTTAGCAAAATAGTATCTATTGAAAACTCACTTGTTTAAAGCTTTCTCACTCCGAGTTTCCCAATCCAACCGGTTCATCAGTTATCCTGTAATTCCTTTGATGTAATCCCATCTTGCAGCATATAAATGTCACTTTTTTTTCACTGTGTTAAATTGTTTGGATCCAGTGAAGTATTGYAATGATGTAGTCCCAGTGCACGATCAACGTAAAAATAAGAGAATGCGTTCCATGATTAGAGGCAGAAGCTGAGCTGCCTGAGCTCTGTGCAGACTGAGCCGACAGCTCTCAGAAGCAGACAGAGGGAGGAGTCCATCGCTGCACCTGCTGCCSTGACCAGGTTTATGTTTCTAGACAGAAAAGAAGGTCAGAACTGACTGGAGCTTACATTTAAATTCAGATACACTTTAACACACATTACGATCATTAGAACTCAGAAACTTAGAAAAACTTTATTTTTATTTATTTAAAGTTGAAGTCGTGTCCTGTCAATTTCATTTATCTGTTATTCTATTCTTTGTGCAATGTGACTTCTGACACTGTTTTTTGTTTTCTTCTTCTCATTTTAGAGACAAATTCCCATAATAAAAGTGTTAATATGCCAGTACTTAATTTTCATCTAATCCAGATATWTTTATAGTTTTCTTTTTTCTTTAATGTACAATTTTTTCTCTATCTAAATAATATTATAAAAATGTAGCTCATTAAGAACATTTATGTGCAGTAAACTGAGAAAGAACCGTTGTAGCTTGGCTACAGATTCTCCAAACCTTTTTTTCTAAAATTAGCAGAAAAAAATGAAAAATAAATTGTGTTTAGTAGATCATTTCTTTGTTGCAACAATAYTTCTTCTACTGCTCATCCCACAAATGCATGTTACTTACAAATGTGRCACAGTTCAAATGGGAATTTAACAGGCTTTCCAACAGTATAAGATTTATTCCCAGGAATCMTTGTTAGAACAAAGAAATTWTCTACCAAACACAAATTTRTTTATTTATTGTGCTAAGTTTACATGATTTACAGTTTCTGCTCAATTCTTAACCCTTTCAGAAWACGATTAATGTTTGAAAAGGATAAGAATAACTTGAGACAGACCCCTAAAAATCAGTAGAATCAGCTCCATTGTTGTTTGGGTTTCAAAGGCACTGATGGGATGTGTGAACCTGTCAGTCAGCCCCGATCTCCTTGAGGCAAACTCCTTGTCCCATAAAGCTTTCATCATGTGTTTTCCTCATATGACTTTAGAGCAAATCAAGCCTTTAACAAGTATGAACTGTATCACATTTGTCATTTTTACTTATTTTTATATCATTTCAATATTTAGAGCTTATCGTATTTGCATCARTTTAAAAAACTGCCAGAATTATGTATTTGGGAACGTTATACATGAGAGGTCAGATCAGCTCATACAGGGATTTGATGAGCTGTATGATAATAATGTAAATAAATACAACAGAAAGTTTGATTAGTCTCATAGTACTTCAGTACCACCAAACCCAGCCCCCTACTGCTCATCAGCCAAAGCATAAGGTTAAAGAGAAATCCCTTGGCAATATACAAAGCTGAGAAGCTAATCCCAGATTAGACTTGAGTACCTGTTTCAGCCAGCTAATGCCCCCCTCACTTAAAGCAGAAGAACATTTTACCTGTTGTGGTAATGTTACATCAGGTTCATAAATACCCCTTTTGTCATCATGGTAATACTGAAAACTCAGGATCATTTTCACATGCAGCAGGTTCATAATAAGTTTTTAATATATTATTTTATATATTTACATTATATTATTCATATACATTGTATATTTACAGTTTAACACTATGTCCATGTAAAATTAAAGGTCTAGTACACCTTAAAGACATGCCTATAAAATTATAAAATGATGAAGCTTTGACTCATCATCACTTCATACCTCCAGGTTACAGCACCTCTCCAAATGCAGATGTGGACAGATGTGTGCACATATGGGATGGTGAACTTGTAGATCAAATGATGATGCAGGGCAATTGGGATCATCCCTATGTTCACCCAAGGTTGATAATAGGTACTGAGGAACATAGATACTGGGGAACATTAGTAATAGAAAAAATAGGTACTGGGGAACATAGATACTGGGGAATATAGGTAATAGAGAATATAGGTACTAGGGAAAATAGGTAAAAGAGAACAATGATATTGGGGAACATGAGTATTGGAGAACATAGGTACTGGGGAGCATAGGTACTGGAGAACACAGGCTACTGGAGAACATAGGTACCGACGAACATAGGTTCTGGAGAACACAGGCTAATGGAGAACATAGGTACCGAGGAACATAGGTACTGAGGAACATAGGTAATAGAGAACATAGGTACTGGGGAACATAGGTAAAAGAGAACATAGGTACTAGGGAACATAGGTAAAAGAGAACATAGACACTGGGGAACATGGGTATTGGAGAACATGGGTATTGGAGAACATAGGTGCAGGAGAACATAGTACAGAGGAATATGTACTAGGGAACATAGATACTGGGGATCATAGGTACTGGGGAACATGGATATTGGGGAACATTGATACTGGGAAACATAGATACTGGGGAACATGGGTATTGGGGAACATAGATACTGGGGAACATGGGTATTGGACAACATAGATACTGGGGAACATGGGTATTGGACAACAGGTACTGGGGAACATGAGTATTGGACAACAGAGGTACTGGGGAACATGGGTATTGGGGAACATTGATACTGGGGAACACAGATACTGGGGAACATGGGTATTGGACAACAGAGGTACTGGGAACATGGGTATTGGGGAACATTGATACTGGGGAACACAGATACTGGGGAACATGGGTATTGGGGAACATAGATACTGGGGAACATGAGTATTGGACAACATAGGTACTGGGGAACATGGGTATTGGACAACAGGTACTGGGGAACATAGGTATTGAACAACAGAAGTACTGGGGAACATGGGTATTGGACAACAGAGGTACTGGGGAACATGNGACATCATAGGTACTGGGGAACATGGGTATTGGACAATATAGGTACTGGGGAACATGGGTACTGGACAACAGGTACTGGGGAACATGGGTATTGGACAACATAGATACTGGGGAACACGGGTATTGGACAACAGAGGTACTGGGGATCATGGGTATTGGACAACATAGGTACTGGGGAACATGGGTATTGGACAACATATAGTATGTACTGGGGAACATGGGTATTGGACAACACATGTACTGGGGAACATGGGTATTGAACAACAGAGGTACTGGGGAACATAGGTATTGGACAAAGTTACAGGGGAACATGGGTATTGGACAACATAGGTACCAAGGAACATAGGTACTAGGGAACACAGGTACCGGGGAACATAGGTAATAGAAAACAGGTACTACAGAGCATAGGTACTGGGGAACATAGGTAAAAGAGAACATAGATATTGGGGAACATAGGTACTGGGGAACAAAGATACTAGTAGAGAACATACTGTAGATACCATAGAACATAGGTACCGAGTAACATAGGTACTATGGAACATATGCAATAGAGAACATAGGTACTGGGGAACATAGGTACTGAAAAACCGAGGTGGGATGCACTTGGAAAAAAGTTTTACACAAATATTTTTGAATGTATAGTCACAGAAAAAAATGCTACAAATATGTAAAATAACATTTAAACAAATATAATTAGATTTAAAGTCTTTCATCTTTTATTWGTGTATATTTTTTTTATATTTGTGTCTATATTTTAATTTTTTTTAAATATCCCAGCACTGTCAATTACCCCGATGAGGATGATGAGCATGAAGATGGGTTCTGACAWTTTGTGCAGAAATCCTTTTGTTGTGCAAACCGATTGTTTCAGCAGCWGTCTGGGTGGCTGTGAACATGTTGGATGAGGCTGGTGTACATGTGGTCTGCAATTGTGAGTCTGATTGTACAGTATATATGTTTGGAGGGATTTTTTTTTATATCCCTTCCATTTCATTTTCATTTCACTGATTCTACATAAGTTATGTTCATAAACAGTCTTGGCATCTTCAGGAAATTTCAGAAAAAATTGTAACAATGCTTAAATTAGCTTTGGTACATGACAAAGTCATTTTTGATCACTTTTTGACAGCCTCCCCATCACCCCATCTGGGCTCATTCTAGTCATGTAATTTACTGTACATACTCATTGCTTTTCTGCCTATGTACCAAATTACATCCAAGTATTTTTGGTTGCTGAACTTTTTTTTCAGCAAATTTRTTTCAACAATTTATCCTAATTTTAGTGCACTCAGAATACATAATGTACTGTCAGCACAATAAAGATAGTAGCTCATTAGTTGTAGTGGAATGGTCATTTATTTTATTATTCATATCCATCCATCCAACCATCATCATCACTTCTTCCTTTTGGGTCACTGGAATGCAGCCGTCACTGTGCAAGGAGCGGGTGACACCCTGGACAGGTCTCCAGTCCATCACAGGGACACAAACAACCATTCACTCTCTCACTCACACCTTGAGGCAATTTAAAGTTACCTTTTTGGTCAGTGAGAGGAAATTAGTAACTGGAGACAAAACATACATGCAAGAGAGARCATGCAGAAAGAAAGATGCCAGGCCGGGATTCGATCTGGCAACCCTCTTACTGAGAGGCAATACTTCTATCAATGAAGCCCCCATGCTGCCCTGCCCCTGTGCAACGGAAGTTATTTATACTGTTGTGTTGTTTACATTGTTATATTTTTGTTGCATTGTTATTTTATTTTTTATTTTGCACTGGTGACTTTTGTCTTAAACGACTGTGTGTAGTAGAAGGTAATAGGAAAATTATTTTAGTATTTTTATACCATTAATCGTTTGATTTGGTTGTAGTTAGTTAATACACAACTTTTTGTCTTTGTCCTTTATTTTAGCACATTTGACAAAAACCAAAATCACATACAGTAATTATTCAATTAACATGACAAGTATTGGAATCTGCAATACTAACCCAGTATTTATAGTATTGGATCAGTACCAAAATTACTAGTATTGCCCACCCCTACCTACATGTGACTGACACAAACCTGTTGATGTTTCTTAGTTAGACTTAAAGGTGGAAAAAGCTAATTTAATGGAAGCTAATTAGTCTGCCAATGGTTTTCAAAGTTGAAAAAGCTAATCAGCTAAATAAAAAATTAGTTCTGCTATTAGCTGATTAGTTAAAATATACACCCAACTGTTAGTTTTCATCACATTAAAACTAGGACAAGATATTTAAGAATGCTATTGTCCTTTTTCATATTATTATTT